TGGTGTCTGCCTTCGTGAAATCTTGGAAACTACGACTTCTAGGAAAGAAAAGGAACACAAGGAAAGAAAAGAAAAGGAGGGTTAGACAGCCCGTTAGTTACAGTACATAGCAGGTTTGCAAGCATCCAGTGTCCACTCTTTCAAGAGCTTATTCTCTACATTGCTTTTCGGAATGCCTGCAAATGCAGCCAAAGTTCATTGTCTTCCCGCATTGGATTCTCTCGACGAAGCGATAGGCAACGAAACGATCTTGGACTGCTCGCTATATTCTTTCGCAACCTCACTTCTTTGACGCCATGTTCAAAAGACCCCCATCTCGTGCACAGAAAATCAATCAGTGGGCACGTTTTCTGGGAAAATCACCATTTTCCGGACAGAATTAGCGCAGAGCCATCCAAAACATCTCAATCCACGACAATGGGAGCTAGGCTATAACCTGAGCTCGGACAGGGAAGTCGCTCCGAGCGCGGGAAGGGGGAGGGATGTCAAGGCCTGAACCGATTTGCTCGCGCAAAAGAAGAGGGAGCTATGCGTTCTGGATGTTGCCACTTTCCAGCTAGGCTAGATCACGTCATGCCTTCTCGTCTGCGTTCTCTCGTCAAGATAGTGCGCCACGTTCTAACATGGCTTATCCAGCGTCAGAGAACATTACAGCACAGCAGGGTCACCTTCTCACTTTACTCCTCTCACCTAGACAGCATGTAACGGCAGAGAATTGTCGGAAAGTAGCCCCTATGGAGGCAATCGGCGTCAAAAGGACTTTCTAGTCACATTTGCATGTGAAATGCTCGATCTTCAACTGGTATAGCGCTGGATAATCCTTTCCCCATAGAAATCACCCCAGCTTAGGTGTGGTCCCAACTCGGGCCTAGGTATTCGCGCCGAAGTTTGTGGCACTCGCTCATGCCGGCACTAACTGGCATGAGCGACTGCCGCAAAGTCGGAAAGTGAAAAAGAATGAAATGTGAAAATCAATGGAAAACAAAAAAGTCATATCGACTATCACCGGAAACATCCACTTGATCAACAGCCCAGCAAGTGCGGTGTGATGCATTCTTCACTAGGAACCAATCTGAAGAGTTGGACAGCTGCACTCAGAATAATTGCTACGTGAGTATCACCAGAACTGATTTACTTCCTAGGTTTCTTGCTAATGTACCTCTGAAATGTACATCGAATGGCTTCAATCGTTAGATCCCGAAGTGCCATCTGCTCGGGCGCCACTATTCACTGGACACTAGTGGGGTCGGCTGTTAACGTCTGCATCCTCTCATCGAAATAGTGCGACATGTTCCAAAATGGCTTCAGAGCGTTAGAAGATGAGTAGCTAAATCTTGTGGGAGAGTGGCCGCTCCGGTGGCTCATACGTATGTACAGTCCTTTGGGAAGCAAACAAAACAATCGTATTGTACCGCGCCGTCGCGCGCGGCGCATCGTGCAACATGCGCGACGACTTTTTGAGGTCGTCAGGTTACCGATTGGAGAAGCACAACTCATATGAATAAGAGCGGAGGCAAGACCCGAAGTCTGTGATACCGATATTTCCCGTCACGTTAGCGTTCAGATTCAATCGGTCGGGCAGGACAACTCGTCCAACGGGAGCGACGTCGCTCGCCACGCCCAGCGCGACGTGTTAAGATTTCTCGTCGCATACCTCAATCCTTTTAGTCCTGAGAAGCTCCGGTAGGGCGGTTTTGGTGTGGCACCAACCAGTTCTCCAGCAGTTTTCAAGAGTCGACAAAGGGACCGGCCAAGGGACAAGAATCGGTGGAAAACAGGCTGGTGTGAAGCCAATCCCACCCTCCCCTTCTCCGACACGCCCCAGGGTCTGCGGCGAACAAGAATTTAGTTATGTTCCAAACATTCACACCGCAATCTCAACGAATCATTTTTTTTTCGAGATTCAGATTCAGCATTCTATGCTGGTTCTGGCGTCGTTTGGACTTCGCTGACGGCCTTTTATAATAGTGTACATTCTCACTTTGTGCAGAGCGAAGGGACGAAGCAAAGGTCAGATTCGAGCAAGACATTCAGTTTTTGAAAACTTTGAGTCTCAATTCCCACCAGTTTTGCAGTAGACCCTCCTGAGGGACCTCCAAATGAAGGACGAGAAAGTGGTGGAAAGAGTACAAAGGAGATAAAATCAAAGAACAATAGCTCAGAAAGTGGATCTAAAACTCCAAGTGAAAGTAGTCAAATAAGAAATGAACATGGAAAAGGTCAATTGGATAGCGTAAGCAAGCAATGTAAGCAGTTCGGAGCACAGGACGAGTGTGTGAACGATTCTGTAGGAAGTGGAGCAGGGAGTGTAGCATTAAACAGAAGTAAAGGAGCGGCAAGCAGTAAGGTAGGCTGTAGTTTGAGTAGCAGAAGAAGACCACTAAATACACCCCATATCTTGGAAATGGAAAGGGTGTGGCCGCGTATTCCACCCAAATGTGGTCGTGGCTGCGCTTCTGGTGAGACATTTTCGCTTCGGCGTAATCACAATCTGTCTGTATCCAGCACAGGACACGAGTCGTCCCCATGCTACGAAATATTTATTCCATGTACGCAACCACGCCCTCTCCATTGCAGAGGTATGCAGTGTGTCCAGACTGATCTAAAAGTAGCTTTACAGAGCGGCGTATCAAATGAAGACGATTCAGAGCGTGAAGGAGCAAGTGGAGAAAAAAGTAAGAAAAAGATCGTAGCTTTACAAAAATCCTCCTGAGGAAACATTCCTCAAAGGAGGGTACGCGATCAGACAACGTGCAGAACCCCCTACTTACAACAGTTGGCGCAGTCCGCAATCACAGGGGATGTCCCACTCAGACGAGTCAGAAGTGTTTGAAAAGAATGCCACGGGTCTGCCACGATGACCAGTCTACCGCTGGGGAAAAATTACGACTCCACTCGAGAGTTCCTCGTCTGAAAAGCGGCCCGCTGCTGTAGGAGTCGACCCATTCACCTCGCGCGAGGCGAGCTTGGGTGGGTAGTCACCATGAGTTCTGAAATTTCTTGCCTAATCTTGGCGAGCGCTGTTGTGTATTCTAACAAGTGGCACAATTTGGTGACACACCTTTGTTGTACGGTAGCACTGAGCAGTACGAATTCTTTGCAGAGCGTGGTTCAAAGGAGGGCTGGAAGCTTTTCAAGTTCCGCAAGAGCAAAGGCAGTGCAGAAGATGCCAGGCAGAGGAGAACAAAGGGCACCCAAGAATCAGCTGAACAAGAGACCGAAGCGCCTCCTCAACAAACGGCTGTAGACTACAATGCTCCTCAACGTCGAAATTATCCACCGGCTGGAAACTATCCACCACGAGGTGGGAACTATCCACCCCAAGGTGGGTACCCGCCACCTGGTGGAAACTATCCACCTCCAGGTGGGAACTACCCGCCACCAGGTGGAGGTTATCCACGACCAGGTGGTAACTATCCACCACAAGGTGGAGGCTATCCGCCACCGGGTGGAGGTTATCCACCGCCAGGAGGAAACTACCCTCCACAGCAGCCGTTTGGCAACTTCCCACAGCCACCACCTGCCCCCGGGTCACCCTTGAAACCACCGCCTCCCGACCAGCAAGGCGGTTATATTTACGACAAGGATGATTATTTTGACGTGGGACCTGCTAAACCATCAGGAGGACGACCGAAACCACCACCTCCGCCACCGCAGCAGCAATGGCGACCTCCACCGCCACCACCTCCACCACCTCCACAGCAACAATGGCCACCTCCTCCACCACCTCCTCCTGGACCACCACCCCCACCTGGATCATTCCCACGTCCAGATAAGCCCCAATCGCCAGCAAAACCATATGAGTTTTGGAAACTTGATCCTTATCGATGAGAGCGATTGGCCAGCAACAAGTAGTAATTCCCGTAGACATTTGCATGTTTTTAACAAATACTCAATTAAATCGACATTTGAAATTACGCCTACTCTACTGAATTATTTGCCTTGTTGCGTTGCGGTTCACTTAATAAATGGATTTGTGAATAAAAATGTTTTTACATGAACTTATACGGCAGTCCTTTGTCGGCAAGATTGTACGATCTTCTTCACATTGTCATCATCCTTTCGCAATTGGCTCCATTTCGTTGCAGCAGTAAAATCTTGTTAAATAAATGCGTGGGATTCCAAAATCGCAGAGTTGGCCCCGCCCACAAAGCTCGAACCTTCCCTGGAATGGAAATGGTTGCTTCATCACGAGCATCCTGAGGAAAACTCCCAGCAGTTGTGCGGACTACTGGCATGCGCATGGATGCGCATATCAAATCAAAGTCTGCGCAATATGTAGGACAACAATCACCGAGCAGTGGAGTCATAATCCCTGTAAATGATAGGGCGTGCGAGAAGGCGTGGACTGGAGCACAGCCAGGGCGGCTTCCTCACCAGTGGTGCTACACTGACCCTTGTTTGAATATGGTACATTTGTGTTTCAGCCTTCATAAGCTAAGAGTAATA